CTTTTCGGCTCACCTCCGGCTGCGTGTTGTGGTCGGCCGATTTTTTATAAATATAATAATTAAATAATATCATCAATCATTCTTACATATCACGACAACTTTAATGTACTATTTATCCACTCACATAAATTTAACAACATATCGCTTTCTACAATCTCCATCTTACTTTTACATCACATCAACTTTAATCATTAATTTTTAAAGGTTATTTAATTTAAAATATCCTTTAGTTAAAATAACTCATTTTAACTCATCAAATTGGATCATAACCGATTCAATCTAATAACTCACTTTAATCCACCATTTTGGATCATAATTCATAAACGATTTAATTCAAATAATTCGTATTTCTTAATGTTTTTTAAAATTTCAAACCAATACAACCCTCCAAATTGTACATAATTCATAAAAAATCTTACAATCTCAACAAATCTAAAATGTCACTCGAAATCTCAAACAATCCCGACCCATTCTTATCAGTTAAGCCAAATTGGAGTTGGTTTCTCAGGTTTGGGCCCGAAAATAAGAAAACGATCTTTCTTTTAAACACGTGCTACGCACAATCTCCGAGAGGGGCACAGTCTTCTACTCGATTGCCATTTGCCCAATCAAAAGTTAAAAATTATCTTTTCGAAACCCTAATTTCATTGGAATCTAGCACAAGACCCGCCTTCGTTTTCGCAACAAAGAGGTACATTGCTAGCTTCATCCCTTCCATTTTTTCTTCTTGCCCAAGAAATTCAACTCCTGTAAAATTCTGACCTATATTTATATAGATCTTAATTAATTAAAGAACCCCCGAGTTCTGATAGAATCTCTGCCCTCTGTTTGGCTGTTGTGAAGCTTAAAGTTTGTGTCTTTTGCATTTTCTTTCCGTTTTTGGTTTGAATCTGAACCTGGGTTGTAATTTCTCGTTGTTTCCTGTCCAGTGATTAATATTCTTATTCGTTGTTTTGTAGGAGTTATAGATGGCTGATGAAACAGTGATCAACGGGGAACTTTCCGACGATCAGACAGTGGAAATTGCCGGGGATGAGGCTTCGGCCAAAATTTCAGGGCTCACAGCTAAGGTTGCTGATCTGGAGCGAGAAAACGCCGAAACAATTCAGGAAAATGAGGGCTTTAAGCAGCAAATTGAGCAACTGAAGTCGTCCGTCAAGGAATTAAGCACCGAGATTGTGGAGCTGAAGAAGGAGGTGGACAGAGCAGAATCAGAAAATAGGGCCTTGAGTGCGGTGGCTGCTCGAGCTTCAGAACTTGAAACTGATGTGTCGAGGCTTCAGCATGACTTGGTATCGACCGTGAGTGATTTGCAGGAATTGACTGAGGAGCTCTCGAGCTTGAAGAAGGATTTTGAGGCAGTTAAAGAGAAGGAGAAGGAGAAGAGTGTTGAGCTGGATGCTGTTGTGAAGGAACGGGACTTGTCATTGGCCAAGATTGAGAAACTGGAGGGAGTGGAGAGCGGTTTGAGGTTAGAATTGGAGGGGAAGGAAAAGGATGTTCGGGGTCTGAAGAAAAGTAATGAGGATTTGGAAGTGGCTGTAAAAAGTAGCAAGGGTCTTGAGAAGTCGAATAACGAGTTGGAGAAGGAGATTGAGAAATTGAAGGTAGAAATTAATATTCTACATAGCAGCTTGAAGGAGAAAGAGAGTGTGATTAGCGAGATTGAGAAGAAAGAAGTAGCCGATGGCGGTCTTAGTGGTGAGAGTGAAAAGATCGTAAACCAAGTGGACTGGATATTTGTTGGGAGTTCGGCTGTGGCTGCTTTTGCTTTCATGGGCTTCATTTGCTATATACATGCACGGAGGTACTGATTTGGACTTCCCCTGCTTTGCATGAATTCATAGGTTAGGTGGCCTTTTTTGTTCCTAACTCAATAGGGAAAGTTTTAAGTTTTTATAGTTTCAATTATTTATGTGTCCTTACGAGCAGTTTAGCTATGGGTTCGTGATATTCTGGTTTTGTTTTTCTGGAATAAGTCTTAGCAAATACTGGATAACATTTCCCTCCAAGAACTGCGTGTATTGAATGGTATCATCTATCATTTCTTTTGAATGAAGGTTTGAAATATGTGGTTAAGTTTGATGTATCTTCTTGCAGTTTGCCGTGGATCTTTATTTGTAAGTGTTTGGATTTGGTTTTCCAGCATACTTCTCTGAATGACATTTGTAGAACTTCTGGAAGATGGTCTGTTATTTTGCTTCAAGTGATTGGTAGAGGTTTCTTATTATGATGCTTATGAGTTATATAACTTCATTTATTGTTCCTGTTTAGTTGATCACATGAACTGTGGAACGAATGATAAAATTAGTTGTTCTAGTGAGATATTTTATGTTGAAACTCTGCTCAAGTTTTACCTGTATGAAGTTATGCTCGAGGTTGTAGTCTGGCTTGTTGGATGATCATAGTCAAAAGTCTTTGGTGTATGTGATTTTGTTTTGTATGAACTATGAACTTGTTCAGCCAACAAACACGTCGATCAGCATTGATTAGCACAGTGTTCTATTGCATGCCTGAGATTTCAGATATATGTTCGCTACACACTTTCACAATTTTCAGCGTATGTGATATTTGCTGTAACTGATGAAATTTTTGTTGCATTTGTGTGATTTTTTGTTATGCTCTCGCAGAGGTGCTTTGTGGGCTTTGCTAATAATTTGTGTGATTCACTTTGGACATTAGATTTCAGTTTCAGAGAAATAATTCTAAGTAAAAATGTTAAGAGCACCCAATAGTGTTTAATAAGTACAGACAATTCAATAGACAATGAAATTTCAGTACTAAATAAGCAAATGAGAAAAAAAAAAACAAATTTTCAAGGTTCAACGCATTTCAATCACTATAATCTTGAATAAACCCATGAATCTACGTTTTCATGGTTCGGTTCAGCACCTTATTATGCACGACTCTCCAACCCATTGTGTTCTGTAACAACATATGATGATGTAAAAATCAGTATACAATACACATTTTAAAGATTGAAACTCAATAGTCAGCTATTGAGAGTATCTGAAAAGCAGTTTTTACGTTTTTGTTTCATGATATCGAAGATCAGAAAACGAACAAGAATAACTTTACCAGTATCAATGATCAGAAGGCCTCAAGACATCAAGCAAGCCGCAACAGTTCATCCACGACGCCCGTGTCCCAGCTGTCACCGCTACTAATGGCTGCCCCTTAAGCCCCAATCATAAGGAAAAGTGTTAGCCGATTTTGTATAAGTAGGGGAAAATTAACTCTATTTTATATTATTCAAACTCATCAAACCTCATGAGTGTCTGTGCTTCTTGGATTTTCCTCCAAGCCGCGTGCTTCTTTCTCTACAGACTCCGGTTTAGCAGCCTCCGATGATGACTCACCAACCTTTTCATCCGAACTCGGCAACTTGAACAATGATTTGGATACGTTAACTTGAGCCAACTTTTCGGCTAAACCCTTTTCCACATGATCGACACATGACGCCACAAGAGCCTTTGCTCCCTCCGAAAATTCTTCCACGACAGGCTTCAAAACTGACTCGACAGACGAAGGCTCGGGTTCGATAACCGGGCTCGGCTCCACTTTTTCCTCGGAGCCGGTTTTGATTTCAGGTTCTGTACCGGTTTTCGGATCATTATCATCCATTGTTCAAAAAACTGAGAATTTTCAGGTTAGAAAGTAGAAAACTTGATCTTGAATGAGTTATAATAGAAGTAGAAGAGATATATGACAGACAGTTTGAAGCTGGCTAATGGGCTAATTATAGAGAGTATTAAAAATTTATTGATATGTATAAGTAAGTGGACAGCCAGAAAGAGGAGGGCTGTGAGGTTTTGTTTTACACGTTGAAGTTGAAAAGGTAGTTTGTGAAGAAATAAGTGAGTTGGTCATGGTCATGTGTGATGCTTTATCTCCTACCTGTTACAATTCATAGGTGTTTATGGCTGTATTTATTGTATTAAATTAATTTATTATGTATTCACAGCTGTTTTTATGAGGTTTGATGATTATTTAACTCTAATCAATGTTTTGCAAAAATTGCTTTTTTCACAAGAAAATATATATCTGGAATATGAAAAAAAATTCAAAATGTGGCATGTAAATAGCTCATTGGAATTACATGAATTATAAATAATTTAAATACAAATTTTAAGGCCTGCTACCAGTTACTTTTGGAACAAAAAATGCTACTTACATAATGAAATAATATTATTTTTTTAATTAATTTATTTTTAATGCTATGCATATATTTTAATTAATTTATTTTAATGATACTCACATAATGAAATATTATATTTTTAATTAATTTATTTTTATGCTATGCATATTTTACAAGTATAATGATTGGGATGATAAAAGAATGTTTTATACACTTGAGTATGTATCATATGTAAACATGGCCAAAACACGAGCCGGACGGCCTAGGTCCGTTGGATCTGGCCCGTCCAACTAAAAAAAAGAAAAATTTTAAAACTATTGTTTTTTCCGTGTCGGACCGAGCTATAGTCGAAGAAACAAGACCCTGGATCGGTCCGGTTGAAGTCTGAACCGGGCCAAGACCCATGGTCAACGGATTTAACAGGGCCGGGTCCGTGTTGGGCTGGCGAGCTGGGTGACCCGTGGCCACGTCTAATCATATATGATTAGGGATATGATCCTTTGAATTGAACCATATCCATACAGATGGGATGATAAAATTTCATTTTTATCTACACAATATTTTATTCTAATTCAGGCAAGTCACGCTAAGTTGGTGCATATCAAACCCATTAACTTATAGTATATACAAAACATAATAACAAAGTAAACTAATTATGAGAGGCACGATAAAATGTATACTATCACGGGTCATTGACTGGACAAGAGTTGAAAATTCCGTTTGTTCACATAAAATTTGAACGGAAATTGAGTGAGCAAATAAACTCCGATTGATTTTGAAATTCTGACAATAAGAATCTTGATGTGACGAACTTAAAGGTGGGTTAATCGGTTGAAATAAACACGGGACATCGCCAATATACCAAATTATTTAGGATATAAAATTAGACATGGTCGGAGTTGGCTCGAACTGCCTGTTCGGCCCCAGAACTAGCCCGTAATACAGGTCATTGAACCACACCTGTGCTACAAACGGGCCTGTTTTGGGCCGGGTTGGCGGGCTAGGTGACCCTGACGGCTGACCATGTCTAATTGTGATTTTTGAGTATTGTACAACTTTTTTCTTTTTTTTTTTTTATTTTTTTTGTGCGGTACAAGACAAAATAGTTTATTATGTGATATGTGCCATAATAATGTGCATTCATTTAATAGGGCTAACATGACGTACCAAAATGAATTATTGGTATGAATTGTTTTAGTGAGAATTTTAATATTTTTCAAAATAAACTATATATATTCCATATAGATACCATATAGATACAGATGAATTGTGATGGATTGTTTTGAGTTAGTACATGTAGTATCAAAATTTCTATGGAGTCATCGGATGGTTTTTAGTCATCCATCACTTAATGTGTTGACATATATTTAATTTATAGTAAGACACATGTTAATACACTATTGGTGAAATAGTGTGGATGATTTCATAAGTCGAGCCGCTCCATAACAAAATTGCATGTAATATATGTTCTTCTTTGCCAAGTCGTTGGATAGATAAAATATTAGTTTTTTGTTGGATATTATTAGAGGTTGGGTTTGCTGTATCCACGCTGGAGACATTCTGTTAAAAATGGAAAAAAAAAACAGAAGAGGATGACAGACACCATAATGTTGACAGATGGCATTTGTTGGAAGTTCACTAAATGAATCCAACATTGTAATAATAAAATTAATTAATTATTAGTAATAATAAAAGAAGAAGATAAATAAGAAGAAAAAAAAAATATTATATAAATTAATGCAAACACTCTCAATTATATTGGGAAAAACATCAAAACTAGTCTCGTTGTTTTCGAGTTTTCCACTTCTAGTCTTATTGGGATGATGTTCCCAAAACAGGTTTCCAAACTTTTTAAACTCAAACAAAATGAAGAGGATTGTTGTCGGGACTATATTTTCCGTACTGAAAATGACACGTCATGCCTACGTGTTTTAATAATATTACAGATGGTCTATTTAACTTCTATGTGGCGAATGACATGAAAAAATATCAAAATCAGTCTCATCCCATAATTATAGAGGTGTTTCACTATTAGTCCCATTAAAAAATCTATTTTTTTTTGTTTTGTACAATAAAGAAATTATTCTTATTATTAATATTTCCGTAATATCGTAGCCGAAATATTTAAGTAATATATATAAATAGTCGTTCTAGAGATATTTTTAATTAAATTGCCATAACCCTTTTCATTCTTATAAAATAATGATATACTAAAAAGTAAAAAAAAAAAATATATATGTATAGTTATGCATTTGATATATATATATATATATAATTGAAAAACTGGATGGAAAAGTATAGAGTACACAGTATGATGTTGCAACACCAATGTATAGAGTAGGCAAACTGTGTTGCAACACAGAAATAAATTGCGAAAGCACGAATATTAAAACAAATATGACTTCGGGGAGCGTCCCACTACCCCTCAGAGTTCTTTAATTGATAAATCGGTTTGCGCGCACAAAGTACAACTTGGACTTACTCGACTCGGATTCCCTCCTAGCCTAGTCGATGCTATACTCGATTTTATCAATTACTTCCCACGCCACAAACACGTGAACTTATAAAATAGCTATGGATCCCTCCCAGCTAACAAAGTACTTAATCCTTAAGCACTCAAATTACTTGTAAAAAAAAAACTAAACGAGCTCAATTTCTTCAGCAATGTAAGAACGCTGAAATGTTGTAACGAACAAAATAAAAAGAATAAAAAAACTCTCAAACACTCAATTGAATATGATGAATGAAGAACTCGTTATTGGAACAGTTCTCTTTAATTGATGGTTTGAGTATGCTTATATACAATCTTCTTAAGGTAAAGAGTCTTCAAAAATTTCTTTTTTTCCTTTTAGGAATCAATTTCATTCTCAATTGATTACTTTAAGATTTGGCGAAATCCTTCCTTTAGAGTAAGTTTCCTTTAAGTAGAATATGTGTATGGTATTTTGCTATCTTCTTGTTGTTTGTACTTGGTTTGCAGTCCCGCAAAAGGAAGGAATTGCATTTGCTTGTTTAGAACCAAGGATGCTAATATTTCCAAAGCCCCTACCTCTATTTATTAGGGACTGCAAGATTTTGAGTCGAGAAGCAACTCGACAGCAAATCAAGCTCCTATCACTCTTTACTAATTAAGGGGGCTTCTCTTGCGAGCGACTCGGGGCTCCCTATGGTTTCGAAAAAGGGAGGGAGGATTTTCTCTTCATTTTGGGGTTCATTTCATTCATTATAAACTCAAAAGTGGTTGGCTAATTCTTGTTTATGAAGCCCATTCAATATGGAGCAAAAAAGACTCTCTCGATTCAGCCGACAAGCGCTCTGAATGAATTGGGCAATGATGGTGATTCCCAAGAAAGGTCACTGACTTTCATGCCTCCAGTTCGAGACGGAAATGTTTAAGAAAAAGAAACTCCTCCGGGCGGAGAGAATTGAGTTGGTCATGGCTTCGGGTTATCTAAGCTCACCCAGAAAACTTCGTCAGAGTGGAAAAACCTAGAATGCATCCTCGCTTCCAAGCATTTAGTGCCATCTTTTCTTACTTGACTATTGTTCCCCGACCTCTAAAGGAAAAGAAGCATAGGAGAAAGTCAATTACATCGAACGAAGTTCAGTCATAAAAAAAAGTACCTTAAATCTAAATATAACCATAGAATGCCAGTTATTTTATAACAAAAAAAGTACCTTAAATCTAAATATAACCATAGAATGTCAGTTATTTTATAACCGATGAAAAAATATCTAAATCATATGTTAATATATTATGTATCATAATAAAATAATAAAATATTCACACCTATTTTTATAATAATTAATATTTATTATGTAATCTATATAATTTATCAGTGTTGTCCGTGCACAAGCTGCTATAATGTGGGTTTATAGCCCATTTATCATTACTTTACAGTTAAAGACCCAATAGTAAAACCCAAATTATGTTCAAGTTCAGCCCTTTTCATTGCACCAGCCCAATAATAACCCTTTTACAAAAGCCAACTCTCCCCTTAAACCCCACCAAAACCGCAGTTTTCTTCTACATTTCCCTTACATGGCTTCCAACGCAGAACCATTCGCCGCCGCCGCCGCCGCCGCTTCACGGCTTCAAAAGTCCACCGTTGATTCGGCCGTGAGTGCCCTTCTGAAATTCAAAGTCGCCGCCCTATCATCCACCGATAAGCTGCAGCTCCTGCCGGAAGATGATTACATCTATCTTTACCTAACCCTAAAAAAAATCCCGTCAAACCCTCGCACTAGCCCCTTCAGAATCGCCCTCCCTCACCCCATCCTTGACGCCACTTCACAGGTCTGCCTGATAATCGACGACAGGCCCAAATCGCCCACACCTCCTTCGGACCAAATCAAGAAGCTAATCAAATCCCAGGACATAACCATTTCGAAAGTCATTAGACTTTCGAAGCTCAAGTCGAACTACAAGCCCTATGAAGCCAAGAGAAAGCTTTGCGACAGTTACGACTTATTCTTGGTGGACAAGAGGGTGGTCCATTTGCTGCCCAAGCTGATTGGAAAGAAGTTTTTCAAGAAAAAGAAGCTGCCACTCGGGGTGGACATGGGCAGGAAGAATCTGAAATTGCAGGTGGAGAGGGCTTTAGGGAGTTCCCTTTTGTATCTGAGGACCGGGACTTGTTGCGTGATGAAAGTTGGCAAGGTGGCTATGGAGAAGGACGAGATTGTGGAGAACGTGTTGGATGCAGTTCAAGGCGCTGTTCAGAGGGTGCCCAAAAAGTGGGATGGTGTGAGGAGTTTGCACTTGAAGTTTTCAGATTCGGTGGCCCTGCCCATCTACCAGGCCATGCCTGATGTGAAGCTAAAAATTGAGGGTTTGAAGGAGAGTGTTAAAGAGGGTGAGCATGCTAAAGACGTCGAGAATGTGGGTGAGGCTATGGAAATAAGTGGTAAGGAGGGCAAAGTTGGGAAGAAAAAGAAGAAGGGTAGAATTCATGAGGTTCATTATATGGATGTTGGTGAGGATATGGAGAGTGATGATGTTGTGGATGAAAATGAGCTTGTGAGGAGTGATGTTTATCGTGGGGAAGGAAATTTGATGAACGAAAGTGATGATGGCGAGGATGATACAAATGATGATCAGAAGATTGAGGTGGATGAGGATTTAAGTAATGATAAAGAAACTTTGGGGATGGAAGTAAGTAAAAGTATATCTCTGAAAGAAAATTCGGTGAAGAAAAAGGTAAAAGCTGTGAAGAGGGGAAGTGGAAAACCTAAGAAAGATGAACCGTATGCTGGAAAGAAGGAGAAGAAAAGGAGTCAGATTGGGAAAAAGTCAGGTCAGGAGATTGCCAAGGTGAAGGATGTGAAACACAAGAAAAAGCTGACCGCAAAGTGATCTGAATCAGAACTAGAGTTCTTTTTTGATTCTTGGGTGAGTGCTGGGAAGTTGTTGATTCTTCTTGGGGATTAAGAATTCCTGTGGGCATTGAATGCTCTATATAAATTTTGGTAACAATAGTGGTGGTTCTAGTGTTCTGTTTCTTCAGAAAAGTTTATTGTGCTGTCGTTTATGTTATTTTGTTGAATCTTGTTTGTTTACTTGTGGTTTTATGGAGAAAGGTATTAAGATTCTGATTTTAATTTATATTAAGTATGGGTGACTGTTTAACACGGTTGGATGTTACTATTCAAGATGTATGGAAGTTCACTGAATCATTGTGTGAGTTCTTTTATGGATCGTTTTCAGATGTTTCTGATTGGTGTTATTTTTGTCGGCTAATGCAGAATTGGACCAATTCAAGCAGCAACGTCTATTTATTTGAACTGGGTGCTAAGATTGGGCCTGGAGTATTTCTCAACTTGCTACATGTTACCCATGCTGTAGCTTTCTTATGCCTTTGCCTTTTAGGATTTATGATGTCTTGCTGATCAAGTCAATTTAGATTTGATAATAGCAGTCAAGCCACATGTTTCGAATTCTTCTATGCAGGGATAGTCAATTTGCTTGAATGATCTAATCTATTTGGGATTTGTTTCCTGTGGAGGTTGAATTCCGACATCACATGTTAATGCACAAGTGACTTTGTGCTGGTCATGAGATGCTACATATGAGAGCTTAGGAACCGTATTCTTTTGCATCCGCCTCTTATGTAGACCCAAGTTACTTTCTGCTAGCTCTTTTTGTGTGAGCCATTGTTCTTTCGTTGAAGTTCTCTCAAGAGTTCTGCTATCTACAAAACAAACTGATAACAGTTTGTGAGATTCATGATATATTCATTACTTTATTCTTGAATATTGAAGACTATTTAAAGACCACCTTTAAGAGAGAAATCAAGCTCGACTATTTTCGGCTCATATTCAGCCCCAGGAGGCAGGAGTAAGTGAAGTTCTTATATGAAGTTGTGTTAAGTAATTACACAAATATATGGAGAACAAAATATGCTAACCTATTACTCCATGACAAGTGGTTATACCCTGCAGAGTACACATCATTTGGTAAAACATATGGTGAATTGGTGATATATCAAACTTTTTATTAGTGTTAATGTACAGATGAAGAACAACATATATTTGAGGAGCTTTTGTTTTTCTTCATGCCTGATTCTTCTTTTCTTATATCAATAAATCAGACTCCCTATATGGATACGACTTGAATAAATCATATTGCCCACAATGTTATCGATCTCTCTCACTCGTAAGTTTCACCGTACATTCACCATAATGTCATTCTTTTTAGGTGCTTTTGTCAACATTACTGAGTGGCAAGTTTATATTGCTGGTGAAGTATATATACATCGTCAAATCAGAACTCACAGCTTCAGTTTCTTACTGATGTATGATGAATTCTAACATTGTCAAAGGTACCCCTTTTTTTTTAACCATTTCATCCAGGCCTCTCAAGTGGCTGCAATGTGTATGAAGGTTGGTTCAAGACATTCTTGTATTCAGCACACATCTGAATTTTTGCAGCAATAAACTTCGTATCATGAGTGAGTTTGGTCACAGTATTTTGAAAAAGGTATGTGGTTCCTTCATTTATTCCGATATTTTTGTTTTCTTACATTTACATCAAACTAGTTGTTACCCGTGTATTTGCACGGAAAACTATATGATAAAAAATAAAATAATAAAAAATATAATCAATAGTAAAAATTATAACATAATCATTGAAAAAAAAGTTTTAAAAAAGAAAATTCAAATATAATTAAACACTTGTTTATATACAACGTCCATAATTTTTCGAAGCCCAATCTGATTTCTTGATGTAGCCCAATAAAAAAAATTTAGTAAGAGAATATTTTAAATAAGCCACAACCCATTATTTTTCTTATAACTTAAGCCCAAACATTCACATCCCATTGTTTATTAACAAAGCCCATACAAAATCAAACAATAAATTATTTTTGGGGCCACAAATGTGTCAAATAAAGTTGATTTCTTTTGAATCCAAATAGTATCAAGGCTGATTTTTTTTTTTTTTTTTTTTT